TGCAGGGCTGGCCTGGGTTTGGGTCCTGTCATCATCCGTGTTGTCTGTCCCCCCCTGCAGCACCAGAATGGGATGTATGGGCTGCACCAGGACGTGCACCACTTCAACTCCTTCGACAGCGTGCAGAGCCTGCCCCGGCTGCTCAGCCAAGCCAGCATCCGGACAGGTAGGGAGCCCAGGGCAAGTGACACGGGCAGGGCCACCCCCTCTGTGCACTGAACCCCATCAAGTGGGAGAGCTCAACATCTCTGACCCCCTGACTGACCCGTGCCCAGGCTCTGGGCTGCACTTTGCTTCCCCCACTGCTGCCTCTCTGCCACCCTCATTACACCTCCCTTCCTCTTCTGTTCCCCATCGTGCTCCATCCTGGTTCCCAGCTTCACACAAGGCTCGTGTTTGACCCCAGCATTCACCCAGGCTGCTCTAACACTTACCTGTGTCTGTGAGCTGGGGCTGCATGGTCCCTGGGCAGCTCCCGTTTCTGACAAGCTGTGGAAGTGCCTCTGCAACCAGCACAAACGCCTGGAGAAGCCAGCAGCATCTCCCAGGGTCACCAGCATTTGCTGAGCACAGCCTGTGCTGGAACAGAGGAGCTGCATCAGCCCCCGGGGAGGACACAGCAGAGGCAGCAGTGTCCCCCTGCTCCTGGCACAGCCTGTGCCCGTGTTCTTGCAGGGATCATTGGGAAGAAGCACGTTGGGCCTGAGGCTGTCTACCCCTTCGACTTCGCCTACACAGAGGAGAACAGTTCAATCTTGCAGGTTGGGAGGAACATCACTCGAATCAAAACGCTTGTCCGGCAGTTTCTGCAGAGCCAGGATGAGAGGTGAGATGGACTCGGTGTCCCCAGGACAGGCTGTGAGGGGGCACAGGAGAGGAGAGGGGCGACTGGTCTTGCTGAAGACATCTTTGCCCCAGTTGGTCACAGGAAGGGACATCTTGTGTCTGGGTCACCCCATCTCTAGAAGCCCAGATTAGGTGGGAGTCCTCCTGCTGACTCCAACTCACCCCTGCACAGCCCAGGGAAAGTCTTGGGGGGTGTGAGCAGCCCTTTGCTACACCACCTCCACCTTCTCTATCTCCAGACCTTTCTTCCTCTACGTCGCCTTCCACGACCCCCACCGCTGCGGGCACTCCCAGCCCCAATACGGAGCCTTCTGTGAGAAATTTGGCAATGGAGAGAGTGGCATGGGCTGGATCCCTGACTGGAAGCCACAGCTCTACCACCCAGAGCAAGTGCAGGTGGGAGCCTGTG